GTAGTCACAGAGCTTTCATGACAGTTTAACAGCCCACTAAACTGAAAAGAAATTACACTCAAGTCTCAGCTGAGTGCTATAATGCATACCTGGTGTGACAGCTATAAAGGCGACTTTACTGGCACCTCCTTCCAAAATTTCCTAGGAAGTGAACCACATATCGTCAAAATGTGAAAAACACATCTAGCAATTCATCGATGTAATGAAAAGGGATTTAGTCCCAATAGCAAGTATGAGCGTACATAAAAACATGATTTGGTCCAAATGTCATTCTTCATAAGTTGTATATTACGTTTAGATTATCGACTCTAAATTAAAGAGGAATTAAACAATACCAAAATTTGCTTACACCGTTGTGTCGAGTTATGGCTCTTTGGTAGGCAATGTAGTTTTCTCCTCGCCTCAGCTCTTTGTTTGTAAAAGTTCCATACGATTTCCCATCACCAACAGCAAATTTCCAAGATTTATCACGCACAGACCCATTTTCGATTTCCGCAGCGATGTAAAAAGGATAAAAGTTCAACTCTTTGTCGTTGGAATCTTTCAGCTTCACATCAAAATCCCTGGGAAGCTCTTGAACACAATCAGTGACTTTAAGAATGATTATTTGATAAGCACTGAAATATTGAAAACGGAGAAAAAATTCTAGTCAATATCATCGCGGTCATCGTCGTATCGAAAAGTGGTGGCTGTTAAATGACTCTGGTACATAAGAACTTTTGCGTAAGAGTTCTTAAAAGACAGTTAAGTGTTTGTGTACATTGTAGCAGCCAATTGTGTGGTCTGATCGTCTTCATGAGAGTATTCCTGAACAGAGACGTTGTTAGCAGAGACCGACGCTATGTTAACGTGAGTGGAAGTCAACTCAATACAGTCAACTAGGGGGGTGTTACCCAGTTTGGTGTTGCAACCTAAGTTGGAAAGACCTTAGGCGTTGCATGAATGCATACATAAATACCTACCTACATACATACCTACATACCATACCTACATACATACCTGCATACATACCTGAATTCATACCTGCATACATACCTGCATACATACCTGCATACATACCTGCATACATACATGCATACATACATGCATACATATATGCATACATACATACATGCATACATACATGCCTGCATACATGCCTGCATGCATGCCTGCATGCATGCATACATGCCTGTATACATGCCTGCATACATGCCTGCATACATGCCTGCATACATGCCTGCATACATGCCTGCATACATGCATGCATACAAACCTGCATACATACATACATATATACATGTATACATGCCTGCATACATGCCTGCATACATGCCTGCATACATGCCTGCATACATGCCTGCATACATGCATGCATACATGCATGCATACATACATACATTTTATTGTACACATCCCCGTCTGGGGCTTTTCAGTGCACAATTACATAATTTACATACTTGGTACTATACATACATATCTTTCTCAGATAATGGACTATGTATGCAAGATTGACATCATAACATGTACAACGGACGTAAGAAGTGTGGCTTTCTCAGGTGAGAGTATCATCAACTGTTTATGCTTTTGGTTAATCTGTTACACAGAGTATAAAACCATTACCTTATTGGACCATTCCTTTGCTCAGCAGGCCACAGATCAATTTCAGCCGTGAAATCAGAGATTTCTACATTAGTCATTTTCAATGCAACTGGTGCCACTGGAGCTAAGAAGATTAAACAATTAGCATAATTTTCCAAAGAGAAACTAGTTTTCCTTTGAAAGAGAAAGCTATGTCTATTAAGCTCCAAAAAATATGACAAATGCATTTGAACGATCGTTTATATCATGAAATAGTCCAAACAGAATGATTATTATTATTATTATCAAATTTAAATTTATACCGCGCAGTTTCTATAAAAATATTCAACTGCGTAAAGCCTTTGACTCTCTTAGCCATTCTCTAATCGTACAGAAACTCGAGGCCTATGGCATTGGACAAAATTCTCTCAACCTTCTTAGATCATACTTTGACAATAGGC